CATTTTTAATAAATTTGAAAACTTATTACATTTTCTATGATTCTAAGACAAAGCATGATTACACCACTTGCACAAGCTCTAGTTACCCCAGAAAAAGCCTACTAGGTGAACAAGATGTGCCCCCTTTCGTGTGGGTTCCTTTGTCAAAGTTGATAGGAAAACATCTAAATAAGCACTACTACTACTACTAATAATAATAATAATAGCTAACATGTAAGGACTGCCTTTTATGTGGCCAGTGTTTTATTTCCTCTAATCCCTACACATACTCTGAAGCAGATATTATTAACTGCATTTTACAGGTGAGTTGACCAAGACTCAGAGAAGTTTAGAAACTTTCCCAACATGACACCGCTAGTAAGTAGAAAACCCACATTAATTTCAAACCCAGATTAACTCCAAGGCCCCAGGTAAAATGCCTCCTCTAAAAGGCTCATATTGCTCAGAGTAAGAAAATAGACCCATCTCAGACCTGGGAACTGGTGGCTGAACAAGATAATAATATATGAGACCTGGATTCAGATCTCAGGGGTGCCACTTGCTAACTCTATGAGCTTTGAGCAAGTCACTAAACACACAGACCTTATGTACAAAATGGAGATGGTTCTTGAAAGAATTATTATATTACATTTCATGTCACAAAAGTGCCAAAGCAATACATAGAAGATAGCAGATTCTCATTTGAAACAAGTTGAACTGAATAAGTATATTTCACCTTAAGAAACCAAAACTAATATGCCAAAATTAGAGGTAACCAAACTCATATTTCCATTTCCAAAGAAAAGAATCCCTCTAGGACACCATTAACAGCAGGATATTCTTAATGTGCATAAAATATAATTTAGTTTATAAATATTAACTTTATACAGCTTCCCAGGCACATTTATTTCAGCCAGAAAAGTGCACCAGAAGTCTAGTAATTGAAACAATACATTCCCCTTGCATTTCTAGATTTTAAAAACTGATTTCAAAACAAATCATCAGAAACAGAAATTTTAATCACTCTATTATTTAATATTCAAATCAATGGTGAAGGAAACTATAGTATGCACCTCTCATGTGCTAGGTTCATTATGTAAGTTTCACCAGGCAGCTTCACTCATAACAGCCACAAACATTACACTCTTGATAATTCCAGACCCTGGGATCATGTCAGTCATCACCCAGAAAAACAGTCATTGTGCAGAGATTTCTCTCATCTGTAATTATAGTGGCTTCAAATATTCTCTTATCATCAGACTATCTCTCCCAACTATGAGTTTGAAAAATGTGTGCACGGTATCTTTAAAGCCAATTTAAAGTATGGGTTTCTCAGAAACATGGAAGGAAGGAAAGAGAGATAGAAAGAAAAAGGAAAGAAGGAAGGAAGGGAGAAAGAAGGAAAGTAAAAGAGAGAGAAAGAGAAAAAGAACCTTTCCCAAAAAAAATTTTAAAAAGAAAGAAAGAAAAAAAATAACCTTTCCTTCACCCACACATGGACCACATCAGGCAAGCAGCACACTCATCTATCCAGGAGATTGATGTGATAGCCACAAGGGATTCATTTACAAGGGGAAATTACAACCCTCAAAGAGGCAAAAAGTATGAGTACCCCAGGCTTAGCAGTAAAGCCTCATCCATTTGCAGGTCTGTCTGTCCTACCATCCCTTCCCCCAGCTCCCCACACCTTTCTATGTTATTCCTGGTCATTTGCAGAACTAATCAACCGCTAGATGAGCTGTGAATTTGGGCTTCTTTGCTTGTATTTGGCAAGACTGCTTCCCCTACCCTGACAAATTAATTACCTGAGAATACCTCCTAGCAGCTCCGGACTCTCTAAGATGAAGGAACAGTGGGTACCCGTGCTCGCCAGTTCAAAATCAGAGCATAATAAATGAAGTGATCAAAACGCAAGGTTCTGACCTGGAGCCAAGGACAGAGAGCCTGCTGTGGGTTCTTTTCGACATTGTTTTCCTCTGCATCAAGGACCACAGAACACCAGCCCCAGGACTGCCAGCAGAAGAGATGTAATACTGCCGTGTGGGAGGAAGGAAAAGACACAGGGGCAAAGGAGCTGTTCGAGAGGGAGGTTAACTGTGCAACTGGGAGGTTCCGCCTGGAAAGTTTTCCTGGAGAGGGAGAACTTTTTTAAAGATGGAAGAGAAAGAGAAGAAGGTGACGCTCCAGGGACCTGCTGCCATGGAGAAGCTGCCTACCCTCGCTGGGAGCAGAACAAGGAGACGCCACACCTGCACAGGCTGTCAGAGCTGGTCCTGCGAACACCAGGTCCCTGCGTTATATTAACCCTTAGGGCTACAACTTTCATTATATTTGCGGGAGCTTGCTTCCAAGTTACCATGCAATTTCCCCTTAATTGTTCCACCCAGATCTGAGCTTCCAGCTGGTTTTCAATGTCTCAAGGGCAGGCACCAGGTTGGCCATTTCATTTATAACTTTCTACAGGTCTGGGCAGCAAAAGAACATTTGTGTAGGGCTTCCTAGCTTACAGATGGCTTCTTGTACCTCAGCCCATTTGTTCTTGACCACAACCCCGAGTGGTGGGAACTATTACTATCCTGATTTCATGTGGTCAGAGTTCAATGCACACATGAAAGCTGCTTTGTCTGTGGATGATTTGTCCATTTTGTTAAAAGCTAATATGTATTTTAGATGGACAGATAGATAGATACTAGGTACCTATATAACATATATAAAGAAAAGGAAATATCCACAGTTTTGTGACCAGTGAACTATATACAAGTTAAAGGCTTGCAGAATTTTAAATATAAGTTTTAGCTTAAAATACCTCCCAGGAGTATGAAAGGATGTGACAAAAATGAGATTACTTAAGATTGGCCTTGGTCTTCAAGTTAATCCAGCTGAAAGTTTGCAGGAATCCCTGGAAGAGAAATTCCTTATCTGTCAGCACAAGGGGCTCTCCAAACCTTGTGGACACCAAGCACCATCTGTAGCTGAATAAGGAGTGTGTCTAACACATATGGGGCTTCCCTGACGGCTCAGGCAATAAAGAATCTGCCTGCAGTGCAGGAGACCAGAGTTCAATCCCTAAGCTAGGAAGATTCCCTGGAGAAGGGAATGGCTACCCACTCCAGTACTCCGGCCAGGAGAATTCCATGGACAGAGAAGCCTCGTGGGCTACAGTCCCTGGGGTCACAAAGAGTTAGACATGACTAACGCCTAACACTTTTGCTTTTCTAATATACACAATCACATTTAAGAATTAGGTCACTCAGCCTTTTTTCATACATGTATTCTCACAAAAACAGTTTCTAGAAGAATAAGTGCTTTCCCATGAGAGCCTTTATACGGGGTCCTCATGTGGTAGATGGTCTCACTGCCCAAGAGCCAGGATAAGACCTTGGAACGGACCCTGGCTTCCTGAGCTCCAACTGACCCTCGGGACATGAGTGAGCAGGTCAGATGTCATACTGGAGAATATACCAGAAGCATCAGCTACTTCTGAATGATCCTTACCTCCTCCTTAATCAAAGGGCTCTTCAGATCTCATCTGTGCTGTATTCTAAAGGACTTAATTCAGGGGAAAGGAGTCATCTAAGGAGAGAAATGATAAAGAGAAAAGATGGTTCATCACCATCACAATCATCTTCACTTGTCTCAACAGGACCCTATTTGGAACTTCAAGCTACGCCCTGGCAAAAATCAGAAATCCATCTTTGTCATCTTCATCAACAGTGTCTTTATCCTCATCAATTCCCCTAGAATAAAGTTATGTATTCAATATGATTTCAATCAAAGCCCAGGGGGTTTCTTCATGAAACATTCAAACTGATTCTAGAATTCATTTGGAAGAGCAAATGGGCAGGAAGAGCCAATTTTATAAAAGGTCAGAACTGGACCAGCCCCGCCAAGTGTCAAGACATTAAAAACTATAGCAATTACATGGTATCAGTGTCTGAGTAAATGGATTGTTTGAGGAGAATCAAAAATAAAACAGAGCAATAAACATGTAGGAATTTAATATTTGATAAAGATGAACTATATAAAGAAAAAGATTAGTCAATAAGTGATGTTGAGAATAACAAACATTTTTTGAAGCAAAAGAAAATTTGTTCATACAGAGATTCATATGAATTTAAGACAATTCACATAAATTAAAGACTTAGGGACTTCCATGGTGGTCCAGTGGCTAAGACTCTGCACTCCCAATGCAGGAGGCCTGAGTTCAATCCCTGGTTGGGGAACTAGATCCCACAAGCCATAAGTAAAACCTGGCACAGCCAAATAAACAATAAATATATTTTTAATGTAAAAAATATACATATATCTTTAAAATCCTGAATACTCATCAGAAGGACTGATGCTGGAGCTGAAGCTCCAATACTTTGGCCACCTGATACGAACAGCCAACTCATTTGAAAAGGCCCTGATGACAGGAAAGATTTAAGGAAAAAGGAGAAGGCAGCAGAGGATGAGATGGTTGGATAGCCTCACCGATTCAATGGACATGAACTTGGGCGAACTCTGGGAGATGGTGAGGGACAGGGAGGTCTGGCATGCTGCAGTCCATTGGGTTGCAAAGAGTCAAGACGTGACTTATCAACTGAACAACATCTTTATAAATTGCTAAAAAAAAATAATTAAGGAATATCTCTATGACTTTGAGGGTAGGGAAAGTTCTTCAACAAGATGCAAAATAATTTTTTTTTAATCACAAAAAAACGATAAACACAACTATATCAAAATTTAAACTATTCATCAAAAGACATCATAATCAAAGTTAGAACATAAGCAAAAATTGGAAGAAAATAATTACAACACAGAGAACAAAGGATTGGTATTCCTTATTAAGAGTAGAAAAATGGGCAAGATATATTACCAGGCAATTCACAGAAAAGAAAATATAAATGGCCAAGAAAGGCGTGAAAAATACTCAGCCCCACTGGTCATTAGCACGTTAAAACCACAAATGATATACCTTTTCTTTTTTCACTCTTAAGATTAGCTTTTGTTAAAAGTGTTGACAAGTTTGACAAGAGAGAATGGAAAAGAAGTACTCCCGTGTGTTATGGTTTGAAATTTAAGCTGGTAGAGTCACTTTGCTGGTCATTATGCAGAACTGGTTGAAGCTAAAAATATGCACACCTTATGATCCTACATATCTAATTCCTGATGGCTTCCCCTAGAGAAATACTTGCACAAGAGAGCTGGAAAGGTATCTGTTCCAACATTGCTTATGTAAGTGAAACACTAGAATTCACTGAGATATACATCAATAGGGAAATGGCTTTAAAACATATCATGCACACTTAATAAGGGACTCTGCAGTAGTTAAAAATAATAAAGTTATTTAACATCTATTAGCTTGGGTAGATTGTGAAATCATAGCTGAATAGGAAAAAAAGATATAGAATAACACTATGTATTTTCTCTGGGGCAAAAAAGAAATTTTATATATCTCAATGCATAGTAAGGGGCCAGGAAAAATAACCAAAAGTGGCAAAAGTAATTACCTCTCAATAGAGGGGTAGAAGGCTAAGAATGAAACCAAGGAGGATAAGTGGCTTGAAGAACACTTGTTCTTTTCGAAATATTTCAATATTTTTACAAGATGACATATTTGCATATAATTAAAATTTAATTTAAAACTAAAACTGTTACTTGATGTTTACTGAAAATTTATATCAGGCACTGTGCAAAGTGCTTTATGGGCATTACTGCATCTGAAACTCAAAACAAGCCTCCATGTCTTACTATTCCCACTTTACAGGTGAGAAAGCTGAGTCCAGGAGAAAGTAAGTTATTGGTCTTGTTGCTTTTTCTTACAGTGAGTTTAAATGATGCTTGGTAATAGCATGTCTCCTGGTTCACCTAAGTCTTTCTCTAAAATAGATAGCAGGAACTTGAATTTCTGGGTCATAAAGTATACACAGATGGAACTTCAACAGATTAAGTCAAATTGACTCCCCAGGGTTGCTTTATCAATTTATACCAAACTAACTCTTTCAGTTGTTTGAGGAGGAGACTCTAGCCCAGGAACCAGACTAGTTAGTCCCAGAGTCCCAGGTCACTGTCTTACCCCATATATTCTATCACAAAAATTCATTCTAGCCCCAGACTGATGTTTCACAAATGTTGAGCTGACGGGGTGATGGTTGACATCCATTAAGTGAGAGTCAAAGGCCAAACAGTGTTAATCTTCCACTGAAGGGGCCCTGCAGCTACTGGCAGTGGGTTTTAATTGGGTTTTCTATTAAGGCAATTTTCTCAGTGATGTATCATAAAGAAGCAAAACAATTAAGTCTCATTGGAAACACTAATGAATTATTTAGCTTGAGCTAAGCAAAAAGATGCTTGCTCCTTGGAAGAAAAGTTATGACCAACCTAGACAGCATATTGAAAAGCAAAGACATTACCTTGCCAACAAAGGTCTGTCTAGTCAAAGCTTTGGTTTTTCCAGTAGTCATGTATGGATGTGAGAGTTGGACTATAAAGAAAGCTGAGCACCAAAGAATTGATGCTTTTGAACTGTGGTGTTGGAGAAGACTCTTAAGAGTCCCTTGGGCAACAAGGAGATACAACCAGTCCATCCTAAAGGAAATCAGTCCTGAATATTAATGGGAAGGACTGATGCTGAAGCTGAAATTGCAATACTTGGCCACCTGATGCAAAGAACTAACTCATTTGGAATGACTGAAGGCAGGAGGAGAAGGGGACGAAAGAGGATGAGACGGTTGGATGGCATCACTGACTTAATGGATATGAGTTTGAGTAAGCTACAAGAGCTGGTGATGGACAGGGAAGCCTGGCGTTCGGCAGTCCATGGGGTTGCAAAGAGTCAGACGCGACTGAACTGAACTGAACTGAAGCAAAATGAAAACACAACCTCTATTGGACTCATCTGGAGTAAAGGAAGACAATTTTGAAGAAACAGGTTAAGAAGAGTATAGGATGTGGGGGAGTGGAGAGTTATGTATCAAAACAGCTCACTATATAGTGTTCTTCCCTCTAGTGGGCTTCTCATCCCAATCAAGTTACAAGATAAATCTTGATAAAATTCCATTTGATCTATCTTGTCCCTGTTTTTCACTATCCCAGGAAATAAGGATAAAGTCCCTTCATCTGACTTTCAACTCTCATTATGCTAGTTCCCCTCCTTCTGGTCTTTGCCTTTATTCTTCCATAGAAAGAGGATGTGGCTATATCTCTGAGCTCCATGGATGTATTCTTCTTTTCCTAATTAACATAACATTGGTTGAAAACAACGTCTCACGTGCACAATATTATATCCAACTTCTGTATACACTACAGCCTGCTCACCAAGAAGAGTTTCGTTTCACCTGCTGACCCCCTTTATCCATCCTGACTCCCCCTCACTCCCTCCCCTCTGGTAGCCTCTACTGTGTTCTTTGTGGAATACAAACAACAAAATCAAATGAACAAAAATAAGCCAAACAAACATGAGTGTCTTTGTAAGGAGCCTGTCCCCACTGGTGCTAAGCACTCTGATACCTCTGCACAAAGGAGACGTGACTCAGGAAACAGATCCAGTTTGTCCTCACACCAGCAAAGGCCCAGATCTATCCAGATGGAAAACCCCAGCACATTCTCAAAAGATCTCCACTAACTTGGCAGCAGATTCAACTACAAGCCTTCTTACTTCTGCCTGTGTGATGAAAAGAAAAACATTAGCCATCCCTGCTGGCAAGAGGGACAAAAAGATGCTTCTCCAGAAAGTAAGCTTTCTGAAGACACAGTGTGCTCATCAGTAGAACACAAAAACAAACCAAAACTACAATGAATTCATAGCGGTTACCAAGGTCTGTGTTGTAAACATTCCTGCTTTGGCCAACTTCAAACTACCTGTGGGCCCTGAATTCCTGAATATCTAACAATCACCTCTTTCTAGCCAGCATGGGCCAATTCCAGCACATAGAAGACTCTGATTGGATTCTTTAAATAGGGAAGGTAAGCCCCAAAGGCAGAAAAACAAACAGCAACAGAATTATCTATCTGATCACTGAAGCTGGCAGTTGACACAAATAACTAAAGCAGTAAATGGAGGAGTTTGGGGGAGGAGAGCAAGCCAATGGGAAATGCTTGTGATGATCTCCTCTGAGGACTTTTTAATCAGGCAGGATATGTTCCTTTGATTTAAGTGATTTACAATGTTGTAAGACAAATTCCCTCTATAACTCTGAAGCTCTTGGTAAAAGCAGGCTCCCTCTTAATCCAGTGGAGATGGTATTCCTGGGAGCAAAAGCACACTGGAGGGTTTCTAGCATGGAATAATATTCATTAATTCAACAGGGTGCTGAGGCTGAGACAAACCCAGTAAACTGGATGAATTCAGCAGAGTCAAGTAAACAGAATTAATGAAGGAAAACATCCCATCTCATCCTATGCATTCAGAAGCCCCAGCCCAGAGAGACAGGGAGCATCCCACTATCAGAAAAATAAAAGTTCAGGTGAATTCCATTTGACCTTTAAAAGCCAGTGTGATCTCAGTGAATAGCTGTATTAGAGTCAAAATAAATTGCTTTCTTTCATGTTTCGCCTCTATGTATCATGTGTTAGACACCAAAAATAAATAAAATGAAATTAAAATGGGGCAGACTGGAAGAGTCAGTTGCTATGAACCTAGCAGAAAATAAAATTGGTTATAAGCAAAGTATGTGGCCAAGAAATCATAAGTAGAACAAAAGACCTGAACCAAAGTCCAGGAAGCAAGCAAGGGTGAGGGAGGAATAGGAGGAAAGGGTTTTCCAAATGGGCAAGTAAGATTCTGTGTCCAGAAAGTCAATACAGTTGAGTAGGACAAACATTTAGTTTGCTGAGGATAAATGAGCAGTATCTCCAGGACCAGAGACTCAGCAGAAGCAGGAGGCAGAGGTCAGCATCCCAAGAGATGGCTCAGGAGCTAAAGAGACAGCTTTCCCCTGGTGGTACGACGGGGAACTGGATATGTGCGTGCATGTGTGCTTAGTCGCTCAGTTATGTCTGATTCTTTGCAACCCCGTGGACTGTGGCCCGCCAGGTTCTTCTGTCCCTGGGATTTTCCAGGTAAGAATACTGGAGTGGGTTGCCATTTCCTCCTCCAGGGGATCTTCCCAACCCAGCAATCGAAGCCAAGTCTGCTGTGTCTCCTGCATTGGCAGGTGGATTCTTTACCACTGAGCCACCTGGGAAGTCCAGGACTTGGGTGCTGATCAACAGAACAGCAGCGGATGCTCCTGGCCCGGGCGTGGGCACCCCTCTTCTCCACGTGGGTGAGCAAAAGCCAGCTTGTGGCAGAGGGCTGCTGGGCAGAGGTGGGGACCACAGCCTGGGGCTACAGCTGACAGTCTTCTCCAGTGGCAACAGTGTAGGCTACAACCTCCCTGGTTAAACTACAAGTGGACAACTAGTCGTCATCATTTTTTTTCCTCTCTGTGGGAAGCAAGTTTTTAAGAAGTTCCCATCAGTTGAAAAGTTTAATTTACCCCACGTGATGAACCTGCTGACTCTAAATAGGTGACTATCTTTCACCTTTGGAAACCATAAAGGGGAACACGCTATAATAGCTTTGGTGAGAGGAAGGGAATATTTTACTGGAAAATTTGATGATCAGCAAAATAAAAACCAAGACTTACTGAACACCAAATACCCAACAAACCCCACAGCAACTATAATATGGACCAGGAGTATCACGTCTAGCTATCTGGGGTCCTTTCTGTCCCCATCTGCACAGACAACAATGAACTAAGGAGCAATATACTTATGAGAGGGCTGCTTATTTTGAAACACTTGCATATTTTTTTCCACAGGAATAAATTCTGTTGGTCTTTAGCCCCATGCAGCTCAGAAAAGAAGAAAGTTGGCAATTAGCATGCCTCCTGCACACTCAGAAAAATCTCACACAGTCAGATACACTCTGGAATTCATCTTGGTGATTTTATTAAGTCTCACTCAGCTCTAAATTACTGATTCTGAGCTCAGAAATGGCACCACAGGGGGCTGAAGGTCATTTGAATTCCCAGCATTTCCAGTCCTTCTGAGACTTCTGGTCAACACACCACTGCTGAGGAAATC